GGGACAGGCTGGGCATCGGTCAGCGGGTGGTGAGCAATTGCATTGTGCATCACTCGTTTTATATATATTCTGTATATTCTCTTACTATTATTATTATTACTATTGTTATTCTTCTCTCTTATTAAACTGTCTCTATCTCAACCCACGGGTCTTACTTTTTTTTCTTTTCTCTGATTCTCTCCCCCATCCCACAGAGGGAGGGAGGGGAGTGAGCGAGCAGCTGCGTGGTGCTTAGTTGCCAGCCGGATTAAACCACGACAATGTCGATAGATGTGTTGTGTGAGAAGAGCAAGGACTGATTTGTGCAAGCAATGCCATTAAAGCCCAAGACATTTGTCCTGACATTGAACAAAGTGGTGGCCATTTTGAGATATGTCCTGATGAAACCTCTGTGCTTGTGTATATTGTATGGAACCCCCCTATGATTTTAAAGCTGTAGGCAATATCACTGTAGATAAAAGCAATCACTCAAATATCCAAATACATAATTTTGCTGAAATTATGGGATGTGACTTTAACTTTACAGCTCCTATCACATCTCATCAATTATTACCATTGAACTATGCACATTGTATCAAGCTTTGTTACCTACCCTCATTTGAGTCAATCTTACATCACTAAGAAAGCTGTTACAGCATGATGATCTCTACCGACTGCTGAAACAAGGTCAAGGAAATGGACAAAGAATGCTGATCACCCCTCATCATGGTGCAAAAGAAATACAGCATGTTCTGAGAAGAGTGAAAAAAGATGGAGAACACTGTTGGTGGGATACCTTATTCGGATGGTCACCGACAGCAACGGGAATGTTGAATGCAATGCTTCCTCCAGCACTGATTTTGTTAGCTCTAAAAATGTTATGCTTATTCCTTATAACCATTCTGTATATCAGTGTTTGGTAGGTAATGAAGCAAATACTTCTTGCTCATCATGTGATCTCACCCAATCATGCGCAAAAATAATAAGAAAATAACAGTAGTATTTTACATGAAAATCTGTTTGCTTATTGTGGATCTACAAGCATGTCAACATGGTGTGTAAAGTGTTTACAGCAAAGAGGAAAGAGGTGACTGTAACAGCACTCTATGGCGTGAAGTAAGTTGACTGTAGTCGTGGGATGGAGTGTGATGGACACGCTTGACCCCAAGCCGTACCCCAACTGTACTTTAGTTTAGACTGACTAAGGAGCAACAGGCCTCATGCCCTGTGGTGAACCTGTGAGCTGGAAAGCACCTGGCTCACATAGATGGGAGTGAAGGTGCCTCAAAGTATTTTGAAAGCTACTTTCAAAGCCTCAGGTTGCAACATAACCAAAGTACAGAACAAGAAACTGGAGCTAAAGTGAAGACATTGACCTTGTCTCTGTTATTGACCAGCAGTCACCTCCTTCACCCTATCAATATCACCATCAGGATGAGCCCCGTTTGAGCTCTCCCTGAACTGCAGCTGGACTGCACACCAGGTGACTTTCCCCTTGAGCAGGGACACCACTCAAAGTTTGAGACTCCTTACCTGAGACTCAAGGATCCTTCCTGACCCAAGGCGGGGAGATCCCTTGCTCATGACAGATCCTCGGTAAGTGACTGATCGCATGCTGAATTAATACTGATGAAACATTACTCAACCCTGCAGCTACCTAATAGCATTATGAACTTTGCAGAGATAATTCCATTAGGCATAAGCTGTTGTCTAAGTCTGAGACTAAGACTGGACCTAGCCGCACCTAGGCTCTGCAAGGAGTTCAGAAAACAAAGGGGTCCACTCTGAACCTCATGACTCAACTGGGAGGGTCTTCCTTACACTTTCACTTCTTCAATCTCTGTGTGAATCATTCTAACATGATTCTAACTCAATTTTCCTTTGTATCTTTCTTCTGTGCAGTAATGAATAAGGTGAGCCTTGCCATCAAGCTGACTGAACCTTGACAAACACCTCTTAAACTTTGTTAAATTCCACTGAATGTATTGAACTCTGTCAAATGATTAGTTTTCCTCAGTAAGACATATTGCTGCTTCTCTCTTTTGAGTGAGGGGTTGGGTTGTGGAGCATATTATGGACAGGGAGAGGCTGAGAGCGCTGTGGTTTTGAGAAATCCTTCAGAGCCAAACTCTGCAGCAATGACCCAGGCCAGTTGGTAGGATCTCAATCAATGCACTCTTTTAATATTTGTCAGGAAAAGGCTATGAGCACTTGATCAAGCTGGAGATGTCTGAGAAAGAGCTTGACTGAGAGACCAGCTGTGGCAAGAGCTATGGGCTTTGGTGTGTAATGAGTCTCAGTAGGAAACTGGTTTCCTTTTTTCTTAGTAGTGGTAGTGAAGACACTTCTCAGCCCCTCCCCAGGTCTCCCCACCTTCCCTGCCCTCTCCCCAGCCCAGCCCAGCAGAGCAGCCCAGTCTGGGATGGCTCCTTGGCACTGAGCACCACAGGGTGCTGCAGAGATCTGAGCACTCACCCCACAGCCCCAGCCCCTCTGAAGGGCACAGCAGCTTCTGTGGGGCAGAGAGGGTGCTTCAGGATCCCCATCAGCCCCAGGGCTGGTGCTGGCCCCAAGGGCATGAGCAAACAGAGGCTACTCATTCCCTGGCTCTCCTGAATTCAGATTATAGGTGATCCTCAACCCAAACTGAATTTGCACCCTTTTCTGTTCCCAGCAGTCCTACTCCCCACAAGAGCACCAGAATCCTTGCCCTGGGGGTTCTCAGGCAGCTCCTGCACCTCTCTACTCTCCCCTCTCTCTGCCTGCCGAGTCCCCACTGACTTCCACGACACTGTAGAGTCCTTGTTTTTGAATACCTCAAATTAGTGCTTTCCTTTTGGGGGACATCACCTTTGAGGGTGTTTCGCCTTCTGAGTCTTCATTCATTGGGATCACAGGGCATGTGGTGAGTCCTCATTCTCTCCTCACAAGTTGAAATTAATTTCAGTAGAGTCCTGCCATGCATGAAGCCACCTGAGGAGATAATAGGGAGCTCATGGACCATTTCCCTTGACACTGGACAAGACAAACAGAGCTTTTAGAACTTTGGAGAGAAACCAAAATCTTAACCCAAAAAGCACTGAGAAAAAAGGGAGAAGAGAAACATTAAAAGACAATTACTTGGACATTTTTGTATAAACAACTTTGAAGGAAGAGCCCAGCCTTCAGGTACTCACCCAAAAGATCCCATTTTAATGAAGAGGTGCTATCTGGCAGGCCACATTTGACATAGTGTTTTGCAAGGGTCAGAAACAACACTACAAACTCTCAACAGAATGAGTATATACATAGAATTTTACCTCTAAATAAAGTTATTAGTAAAGAAATAATCAGAATTATGGCATAAGATAAAATCTGCACAACGTACAGAAGATGGGAAGCACGTTTATGTCAGTGAAACAGCACTCATTGGATGATTTTCGAAAGGGTATCCTTGAGCTCCTGGTTCCTCATGCTGTAGATGAAGGGGTTTACTACTGGAGGCACCACTGAGTACAGAACAGCCACCAGCAGATCCAGGGATGGGGAGGAGATGGAGGGGGGCTTCAGGTAGGCAAACATGGCAGGCATGACAAACAGGGAGACCACGGCCAGGGGAGGGAGGCACATGGAAAAGGCTTTGTGTTGTCCTTGCTGAGAGGGGATCCTCAGCACGGCCCTGAAGATCTGCACATAGGACACCACTATGAAAACAAAACAGCCAAAACCCACGAAGACAGTGACCACAATGAGCCCAACCTCCCTGAGGTAGGCCTCTGAGCAGCAGAGCTTGAGGATCTGGGGGATTTCACAGAAGAACTGGTCCACAGCGTTGCCCTTGCAGAGGGGGAGTGAAAATGTATTAGCTGTGTGCAGCACAGCATAGAAGAACCCACTGCCCCAGGCAGCTGCTGCCATGTGGACACAAGCTCTGCTGCCCAGGAGGGTCCCATAGTGCAGGGGTTTGCAGATGGCAACATAGCGGTCATAGGCCATGATGGTGAGAAGATAAAATTCTGTTGCCATTAAAAATACAAACAGAAAGACTTGAGCAGCACATCCTGTGTAAGAAATGGCCCTGGTGTCCCAGAGGGAATTGGCCATGGATTTGGGGACAGTATTGGAGAGGGAGCCCAGGTCGATGAGGGAGAGATTGAGGAGGAAGAAGTACATGGGGGTGTGGAGGCGGTGGTTGCAGGCTACAGCGGGGATGACGAGGCCATTTCCCAGGAGGGCAGCCAGGTAGATGCCCAGGAAGAGCCAGAAGTGCAAGAGCTGCAGCTCCCGTGTGTCGGCGAATGCCAGGAGGAGGAACTGGGTGATGGAGCTGATGTTGGACATTATGTCACTCTGGATGGTGGGATCTGTAAAACAGAAAAAAAGGAAGTCAGAAATTAGGGCAGAATTCTCTGACAAAAGTCTACTTCTTATAGAAACCCCCCAAATCACCTTTCTCTTTTCAGGAAGACCTTTGGTGATCTCTGTTTGGTGCTGGCTGAGGGTGGCCCAGGGAGCAGAAGGCTCTGCTGTGGGCTCTGCAAGACTCAGTCCTGACATACAGCAATAGGTAAAGAGGAACATGGGGTGATCTCAGATTAAAACGTCACGTGATATCAAAGAGCTTTCCAGCATTGTTGCTCCCAACTCACCTGATTGCAGAGCAGAGCTGTGGGGATGTTGTTTTGTGTCCTCTGTTCCAGTTGCCCCTCCACAGCTGAGGAGTAGTTTTCATGCAGAAATCCCTGGCATTTCTGCTGCACTGCCAGGGAAATCTTGTGGGTCCTAAGAGGTAAAAGGACTGTCCCTGAGTGCAGTGGGAGGACAGCCGCTCTGTCCATCAGCCTTGGTCTCAGCTGCCCTGTGATGGTAGCTCATTCAGCTGCAGGACCATTGCACTTGGGGGTTCCCCCAAAAGAAACAGGGCACTGCTGGGAGCAGAGGAATGCAGTTTCCAAGTGCAGCTCTCCAGACCCCTCAGCCCATCATACCTGAGGAGGATCTCAGCTCTGCCCTCCCAACCAGGGACACCCAGGGCTCATGGCAGCTGCCCACCTACAGCCATCCAGCAGCATTTCAGTGGCCTCAGCACCCAGGGGTCTTCTCCAGGGTGCTCCTGCATAACACAGAGGCGCCACGGTTGAGCTTTGCCCTCCTGGAGGGCAGCCTGCAGCCTAGCAGGTCCTCCCAAGGAAAGAGTCCCATCTCCTCCCTTTGTTACGTCCTTTAGAGAGGCTGAGATCCCTGGCAGCCGCACACACTGCAGTACCCGGAGCCCCGAAGGTTCACAGGGAGCGAGTGGGATGCTTTTCCTCCATGGACAGATGTGCATGGCAGGGCACACAGCATTGGTGTCTGAGCTGCACTTGAACCCCCCCACCCCAGGGAGTGTAACAGGAAAAGTAAGGGCGTCAGGGAGAAGAGGAGAAGATGCCCAAGGACCCCTTTTCAAGGGAAGCAGGAGAGGGAGACCCAGTCAGACACGAGAGTTTCTCTCCTCTTTGCTGGTCAGGCTGCTGGGAAGGCAACTCCTGGCCAATTCTCCATGACATTAAGGGCAGAATCTCTGCTGTGTGAGGAGGGGGACCAGAGGGTGGCTCCAGGGAAAGCGTCTGCACTGCAAGGGATGGCAGGGCGATGCCTGAATCCCTCCTCCCACGGCATTTCTGGCAGCAGTTCTCTCTTCCTTCCTGCCCATGGCTCTGCCACCTGGACCTCTTCTTGGCCAGGACCTGTTTCTCTGTCCCCACATCCCCTCCCTCTGAATGCTCACAGTGACCATTCTACCTTCTGTGTGCTCAGCTCGGCCCTGCAGACACTTCCTGGCGGCAGGGCACTGCCCAGGGACATCTGTGTGTGTGCAGGGGGTTAGGAGCAGCTCAGACAATTGCTAACGAGAACTGGGGTCTCATTGCCTATTCCAGAGCTGAGAAATAAATTCCCATCTCCCACTGCCCACCCAGCCAACCAAGAGGAGAAAACTCAAAGCACAGATTTTGACCCTTTCAGGGATCCCCTACCTTGACATCCATCTTTAAAATGACCAATCTGCAAATGTCCTCTGGCTGATGCAGATTTCTGAGTGCCCCTGAACCATGCTGCACCCTCTGGACAGCAGAATGATCCTGCCCTGACAGGGGTCACTCCTGCTAGCCACAGCTTCTACCCACAACGTTTTGTGGAGCTCCCTGGGTAGGCTGAGTGCTGACCCTGGTAGGCGGCAGAATCCCTATCCTGGTGCACAAGGACCATGCTCTGAAGGGCACCCCTGGCTTCATACCCAGGTTGAAATTTCTGGAGGTGTCCCTGCGACCAGGAAGATCTCATGCCCTGTCCTTGTGACAGTGCAGCAGGGGAGCCCTACTCTGCAGAGAACATCCTCCTCCTCTACAATGGGGAAACAGTGAGAGTCCTCCTGAAAGGTCATACCTCCTACAGGATCTAAAAGCATTTGGATATCCCTGCAGCAACACCAGCTACATTGTCCTGCACCCAGAGACTTACCATGTATAGGGCTGTGAAGGTCTCTCACCCAGTGAGCTCTCAGCATCCTCCCACCCCACACTGACTTTAACCTCTCTCTGCCTCACTCCTCTCCACTCTCTGCCTGCAGGCAGTGCCCTCAGCCCTGCTGCGCTTTGCAGAGGAGCTGCTCCTGGGCATGGCTGTCTCTCAGCAGCACTGCCCACTTGCCATCAGCTCCCTCCATCCCAGGAGCCCAGCCCAGCTCAGCAGCAGAGGACCAGCCCAAGGCAGCACTTGCTCTGCCCCCTCGGGGCTCCCTCCAGGTGTCCATAGGGCTCCAGGGGAACCTGCTGTGAAACAGGCTGAGGTCATCCCTGATGTTCTCTCCCTCAGCTGGGGACAGACACTTCTTTCCTGCAGTGTCATTGCTCCTATTAGAAAAATAGTTGGCCATGAGGATCACTTTTTTCATCCTATCAATAGACATGATAGAAGGAAGGTGACAAGACAAGATCTAAGTTCTCCAAGCTGGGAGGATGTGTTCTGTTCAGTGAATGTAGGCACGTCATCTTGGGTCTTTAGACCTTGGGCTAAAAGGGCATGGAGCTCTCTTTTAGCCACCGATCAGAACACTCTGAGCTCTGCCATTCAGCCTGTTCCCAATCCACATCACTGTCTACTCATCCAACCCACACTTTCTGAGCTCTCCCAGCCTTTCCTCATAGAAGAGATCATTGAATCATAGCATCATAGAATGGTTTGGGTTGGAAGGGACCCCTAGAGGTCATCTAGTCCAACCCCCCTGCAGGGAGCAGGGACACCTTTAGCCAGATCAGGTTGCTCAGAGCCCCGTCCAACCTGGCCTTGAATGTTTCCCAGGATGGGGCTTCTATCCAGCAATAGCCTGTGAACTTCTATGCAAGGTAGCTAGCTATGGCAGGGGGACACAAACTCAAGAAATTTTCGCAGGAACGTGGCACAAAGATTTTGTTTTACATGGTCTGGTCTATCCATCTGAAACACAGTGACTTCAGCAGGCTTATTTTATTCTACCCACACACATGACCCATGCTTTAGATGCACAAAAGCATGGTTGGGCCTCTTGAGCTGCCTGCGCACATTGCCGACTCATGTCCAGCTTTTCATCCCCCAGCACCCCAACTCCCTCTCGGCAAGGCTGCTCTCCATCCTTTCTTCCCCCAGCCTGTATTGATACCATGGGTTACCCTGACCCAGGGGCAGGACCTTGCACTTGGCCTTGTTGAACCTCACGAGGTTCACACGGGCCCACCTCTCCAGCTTGTCCAGGTCTCTCTGGATGACATCCCATCCTGCTGGCAAGTCGACCGCACCACTCCGCTTGGGGTCATCTGCAAACTTGCTGAGGGTGCGCTCGATCTCGCTGTCTATGTCATTGATGAATAACTTAAACAGCACTGGTCCCAGTACAGACCCCTGAGGGACACCACTCGTCACTGGTCTCCATCTGGACATCGAGCCATTGACCACTCCCCTCTGGATGTGACCATCCAACCAATTCCTTATCCCCTGAACAATCCACCCATCAAATCCATATCTCCCCAACTTAGAGAGAAGGATGTTGTGGAGGACCATGTCAAAGGCTTTGCAGAAGTCCAGGTAAATGACGTCCACTGTTTTTGTCACACCATCATAGAAAGCCACTAGGTTCGTCAGGCACGACTTGCCATTGGTGAAGCCATGCTGGCTACCTTGAATTACCTCACGGGCCTCCATGTGCCTTAGCATAGCTTCTAGGAGGTAGTTTCCAGGGTCTTCCTTTCTACCCTTTTTGAAAAGGTGCACGTCACATGGGGCTCCCCCTGACTGCCATGACTTTTCAAATATCATGGAGAGTGGCTTGGCAACTACATCAGCCAATTCCCTCAGGACTCTAGGATGCATCTCATCAGGTCCCATGGACTTATATGTGTTCAGGTTCCTCAGGTGGTCATAAACCTGATCTTCTCTTACAACGGGAGGGGTTTTACCCTCCCGGTCCCCCTCATGCCATCCATTGACTCAGGAGGGGTGAGGAGAGAGGTTGCCAGAGAAGACTGAGGCAAAAAAGTTGTTGAGTACCTCAGCCTTCTCCTCATCTGCTGTTACCAGTTTGCTGGTCTCACTCAGCAGCTGGGCTACTCTTTCTTTAAGCACCCTTTTCCGGCTGACATACCTGTAGAAACCCTTCTTGTTATTCTTTGCATCCTTTGCCAAGTTTAGTTCCAGCTCTATAATCTATGACATCATGCTCAGCAATAAAAGCTGGGGCAGAGGAATAAGGAGGGGGAGTTTTTTTGTCATTCAAGTGTCCGTTGCTGGGAGACTGGCTGGGCATCAGTCTCCTTGTGGGAGGTGGTCAGTGATGGCCTTTGTGTTGCCTCTCGGGTTTTGTTTATGTTTTATTTTATCTTTCCTTTTAAAAACCTATTATCTGTTTTTATCTCAACCCACAAGCTGCACAACAACTTCATGCGGTAGCATGGTAACCTGGCCAGTAAAGCAGTGCCCTGAGGATAAGGGTCTGGGCACCATGACGATGCCATATGAGCCAGTGGGTCTCACATTTCTAAAGGAAAGTGGTCAAACTGGAGAGGGTCCAGAGGAGGTCTGCTAAAATGGAGCAAGGGGGCTACAGCATGAGTTGTGAGGAAAGTATGAGGGCACTGGGCCTCTCTAGCCTCCTGAAGGAGGCATGAGGCCATCTAGAAAGAACCTAAACCTACCTGGAGAGGTGCCATGTCTACATGCCCTACGAGAAGAGATAAACTGGAGGTGGGGGTCTCTACATCATATGCTTAGAAGAAAATTCAGGGAGGAAGGCAGCTCAGGTGGACTCAAGTCCAACTCCTATCAAAAAG